GTGGTTTCCAAAACTGTATGTTCCTTTGGGAGCCAATCAGTTCTGTTTTTAAGGTGCCTCTGGGTGGGTCTGAGCTACCAACCTTCAGTTAGTAGTGGAATGCTTAACAGCGTGCGTTATCGGAAGACTCTTTGCATGTGATCAGTAACATCTAAATCATGTCTCAATCTCTAGCTATGGTGCAGTTGAGGAAATGTACTCTTCTCCCTTCCAGTACAGTTTTTTATTTTCTAGCCATCCAGGAACGCACATTAAACAAAAAGAACACACACTCAACAAACTAATTGCTTTATATGCATGTGAAAGTTGAACAATGACTAAGGAACATGGAAGAAAAACTGATGTCTTTGAATTACGGTGTTGACAAAGGATATTATTACATGTACCATGGACTGCCACAAGAACAGGTTTGTCTTGGAGCAAGTGGAACCAGTACGTTCCTTGGAGGCAAGGATGGTGAAACTTTGTCTTGCATATTTTGGGCACATTGTTAAGAGATAACAGCCTTTAGGAAAAGACATACTTGAAAAGGAAGAGTGTCAGTAGAAGAGAGGAAGATCTTCAAGAGATGGATGACATGGTGACTGTAATGATGGACTTGAGCATGACAGAGGTTCTGAGGACACAGCAGGACAGGGCAAGTTTTCTACTGCTGCTCATAGGGTCACCAAGCGCCTTAGTCCACTTGGTGGTACCTAACAACATTTCTCCCCAGATACTCTTATCAGCTCTTGCCTCTATCCACCGACCACCCATTGCTGTCAAGGCAATTTTGCCTCATGGCAACCATGCAGGACAGAGCAGAACTGTCTTATCAAATTTCCAAGGCTTTACATCATAACAGGAACAGATTGCTTTATCTTTCTCTCGCAGAGCAGCTGATGATTTTAAACTGCTGACCTTTCAGTTCAGCAGTCCAACACTAAGCTTATTATACCACCAGGGCCCCTTCAAGCATCTCTAAGGCCCATAAACTCATTGGAATCCTTTTACTTGAGTTCCTGAATTTCCTAGGTACTCTTTAAAGCAATGGAGCTCTGGTGGCCCAGTGGTTAAACAGTTGAGCTGCCAACATAAAAGCAGGCAGGTCACAGGAAAAAGATGAGGCATCTCCTTCTGTGCAATTTACACCCTCTGAAACTCACTGGTGGGTCAGCTCTGCGTCAGTTCTGACTTGTTGGAAATGAGAGAGTTTTTAAAGAACACTCCAGTGGCCTAGTCCACAGGATGCTGCACTGCTAACCAAAGATGTCAGGTCTCGGTTGGTTCGAATCCACCAGCTGCTCCACAGGAGAAAGATGGACAATAACCTCCAATTAAAATGTGCAATATGACAGAAGGTGACTAAAGTCAGAATCAAGCCAATGATAGTGAGTTTGATTCTTTAAAGAATGGCCTCACTCAAGATCACATGAATATTTAAGTCATTTATCCAGATCCATGCCTGGGTTCTGTATTTTCTAAAGTTCATGCTCTCCACTGCACTGAAATCACATGACAGAAGACAGAATGGGACTACCTTTGGATTTAGTACCAATTCATTTGATGTTAGTGTCTTAAATATAAAAAAGAAAATCTACCCACCAGATTGAAAATTTTTATAAAATATTCTGACATGTAAGTCAAATTTTAGCTATTTCCAACACAGCAACATAAAAGCCTTTTAAAGCTACAATAAAATAGCATCTCATAAAACTGCCTTCAGTAATATAACTTTAAAAACTATACTTCTGCTTATTACTTATCTAGAATAAACACTTTCTTAAAGCACAAAGTTGAATCTCCATTGTCTTATTTAATTAGAGAAATTTTATACGTGGACTCATCTTTAGTAAGAAATATTACTTTTGTTTCTCATTAATACTAAAGACATAATAATAACTGACATTTTGAAAGTGTTCAATCTACTCCCAGCCAAATACCGAGCTGAATCCCTCTAGACTGTTCATATGGCCCTGTTGTTTTTTTTTGTTTTGTTTTGTTTTTTTAATTTAGGTTGTTTATTTTTCATTTCAATAAACATCTACAGAGATTTTGGAATTCCATTCATTCATTGTTGCACCCTTCTCCCCGC